ATTGTTCACTTCTCCTCCAAACTCTGCACCCTTTTGTGAATAGCCCTGCAAGTCTTGTGGTTGGAATAAAATAAGTTGTAACAGCGATTTCCGCTTTTGCACACAGATTTAGGAAACCTTCACTGTATTTGTGTTCCCATTCACACAGCATTCCTTTTAAAAAAAAGGGTTTTTCACCTTTTTAGGTGTTTACTTTTTGTTAGGATTATCAAGTTTACAACTGATAATCAGATCTGCCAGCCCAGTACAGACAGGGATAAAAACTCTCTCCCCCTCCTCTAATGTATTGCTTGACGTTTTCAATAAAAGCTTTTGAATTTAAAAAAAAAAAAAAAAACTCTCTCCCCCCCCTTTTTTATTTTTAGATCTGCAATGTGAATGGGAACCTGTAACAAATGCACAGTAGAGTGTTTATCCCAATGTTGCTTTAAAAAGTGGAAATATACTTTAATCTCAATGAGGGTATTTTTTCCTGTAGGACCAATAAAAACATGTGGAATAGTCTTCCATAGAGTCTGGTTCTTGCGGTTAAAAGTTGCATAAAAAAAGGATGGCTGCACTTTTAATATGCAAACAAATTAACATTTAATACTAAATACAAATGTAACGTAACATAACATAACAAAGGTGGCATAAATTGGGAATCAGTTGTCCTCTTTTGTTTGTTTGATGTACACAAGTATATTTTAGCCCAATTGTAATGAAGTGACTTCTTGTTAAAGAACAACTCCGGGAAAAATAATTGTCTTGCATTGGGGCTATCCCCTCACTGCAAGGGTTAACTGCTCGTTTCCATCTAGACACTAAAATAAGTTCCTCACCCGAGCCTCGGAGCCGGCCAGCTTTCACAGCTTTCCCTCCAGACTTTGTCATCCTACGCTGCAGCGATGGTATGTCCCTCGGGATCCTATGCACTGTGGGGGGAATTTATCAAAACTGGAGCAGACAGAATGTGGAGCAGTTGCCCATGGTAACCAATCAGCTGCTCTCCATTTTGCTCAGGTAAGATTTGAAAATGAGACAGAGAAGCTGATTGGTTGCTGCGCAAATCTGCTCCAGATTTTGTCTGCTCCAGTTTTGATAAATTCCCCGCTGTGTACAGAAGGTGATGACTTGAGGACCTTAGACTGCAGTAGTGAAGGGGGAGAGACGCTGGATAGACGGGGTCTAACAACAAGCTGGCTCAGAGGATCAGGTGAGTATAATATTTCTAGTCCCTCGACGAAAATAGGCAGTTAATAAAAAGGGTTAAAGGAGAACTATGGGGTCAGTGCTTTTCCCCATAGTTCTCCTTAGGGTAACGGGGGGGACACAAACTAGCGTCCTCCCGTCACCCTAAGCTCAGTATACTGTAGCTCGCGGTATACTGAGACGCCACAGCCGGAGCGGATCCCGACATCAATGTCGAGTTCCGCCCAGCTGCGTGAGTGACAGCTGGTTCTGCCTATCTAGAGGCAGAGCCAGCTGTACCCGCCCCCTCCCCCGTCCATTCCGCCAGTCAGCGCTGGCGAAACGGGGAGGGGGGGAATCCATCCCCTCCCCTGTCACGGCAGAGAGCCGTGACAGGATCGAGAAGTGAGTGAACACCGGCGTGTGTTTGCTCCCGATCTACTGAGCCGACCTGTGACAGTCTCATTGTCACAGGTCGGCTAAAACTATGAGGTGAGTGAAAAGCACTCACCTCATAGTTCTCCTTTTAATAAAAAAAATGTGCCCACAGTTCTGCTTATAAAGCAACAGTTGCTTCTGGCGAAAAAAAAATGGAACAAAGCTCAGCCTGTAAGAGACAACTATAAATATTTATCTGCCACCAGGGCCAGATTTCCCACAAGGCCAACCAAGCCTCGGGGCAGTAGGGAGTAGAGGGTCAGCAGGGGTGTGGAATTCCTATCTCCTGACACCTGGGACATGCAGTTCCGGGTGACGGGCAAGTACAGGCAGTCCCCGACTTACGAACAACCCGTACTTGCGAACCGAGGTCCAACTGCCCCCCCAGATTAGTGCCGCAGGTCTCGCACTCAGTGTAGTGATACAACTACATACAAATATCACTCAGTGTCACAGATTTTACTGTAGTTCATTGTAAAAAAAACTTTGTACAATGAACTGCAGTAAAGTCGGTGACACTGAGTGACAGCTGTTTTGGGCAAACAGAGCTAAACGTACAGCGGGGAGGCCACCGCTTGTTTTGTACGAGTGATCTTGGCGATGTTTCTGAGATCAGTTGTATGCAGCATACAGGTCTGCCATTTTCCATTGAGGGGGAGTTGGTGGGTGAGGGGGGGGGGGCGCATTGAGCAACCTGGCCTTGGGGCAGCAGAGAGAGTACATCCGGCCCTGTCTGCCACACTGCCTTCACCATCTATCTCACTCGTTACAGCTACCAAAGAGTTTTCTGCATTTAGGTTTGTCAGATGCCTGCTCCCCCATGGTTAAGAGCTCCATATGACTGATAACAAATTAATTGTATTTGGCTGAATGATGGCAAATGTTAATAGAATGTTACATTACATATCCTGCTAAGACTCAGCAGCTTTTAACCATGTAACAAGGAATGCTTTTTATAATGTATTTGCATAATGCAGCTTTTGTTTTTTATGTTTCTTGCTTGTTTTCTTTGATAACTGCCAATACGATGCCAATGCTGTACAAGAAGTCAAGGTCTATCCATTAAAATGTTCATCAATTGTGTATATCCCACAGCAGGTAAATGAGAGATTAAGTGATACAAGTAGAGTACTCGCAAGCTTTTCATGAAGCCTTCTTACTGTGGAGATAGAATGTAGCACATGTTTAGATGGGGAGAATCATTGATGACTAACTAGGTAAAGGTTTCAGGAGGTTACCCATACATAAAATAATTGAAAGCAAGATGTTACAGTGTGTGGAACACACACACCTTTTGGGCCACTTATTCAGAAAAACTACTAAAGTGCGCCAATCACTACTAAAGTGCGCCAATCATTAACCAATTGAAGCCCAGGGTGTTAGAACTCCTTCCTGTCCACTTTTCAGTATTCAGCGCTGTGGTACATTGACTTTTTTTATTCAGTCAGTTGTGCGCCCGCAAAGTCGCAAAAACCGGCCACACACAAAATTGTCCAAAGGCGACTCTTTTAAAAGCTTTTGCCGCTCGTCAATTTGGTGTCATGGCCCTAGAATTATTCCTTGCACTCCGAAGTTTGTGGTGTTATGTAAAATGTGAGGCATGATTGTTTTCACACAAAGTGTACCAGGCGCATGTTTGCGTTCGTGTGTGCATGTGGGGAACTTTAACTATTTTTTTACATTCTTTTATGTGTGACTTAAATGTTTTATTTTTTTTTTTACATTTAAATTGTATTGCTGTCACATTATCTGCTATGGTTCTAATTTGCATGGCCATTTTTCTTTTCTTTTAAGGACGTTACGGCTTTTATTTAGCACACTTGACATTTTTGTTTTTAAAAATCCTTTTTTTTTTTCATTATAGGCTGACAAATGCAAATGCATGACAATTACAGTATTAAACAGAGAAACCCTGCCATCTTCCGAATGCAGTGGAATTTACAGTGCAATCTACAGGCAGATGGCTTATTTTATGAATCAAGCCTTCAGCTTGCATGTGTTCACAATGTCATAGTTCCCGATTGTTAGTGGGAAACAGCCATTAGTGACCACCTGGTATGACGGGTAGCATCTATGCACAGTGGCATCTGCTACCTGTCGAGATTACTGTTCCCTCAGCACAGGGCCTTGTGCAGGAATGTTCATTTACAGAATCCTGGTAGGAGGGAGTTAAGCTTAGCTATTTAACACGTGTATGTATATATAAACATTACAGCTTAATTCAAGTCAGATATCAAATAAGACCATTATTGCAGTCATGTATTCATTAAAAAAATGCACGTAATGTGGTGCAGCTGTGACAAAGGTGCATTCCTTTTAAGTCATTGGGATTCGATTCAAAATTAATATTTGTGTGTTGTGTGTTGCTGTAACTCATGCATTCCTACAACGCATGGCAGTTAAGTCAGCCCTATGGTTTTCTGTCCCCGAAACTATTTCAATATGCGCTTGTAATCCCCCACACATCAGCACTGATAAAAAGGTCATTGTGTCAAAGTGCAGTTGTGCTAATGGTTCAGAGGGAGGGATACCATCTCTGATATCAGAAAGAAGAGCATTTGCACACCATACTTGCATGTTACGGCAGACTCCTCTGTTTGCCCTACTCCAGTGTTCACAGTTCAAAGCTGCCCCTCAATACTCCATCCGCCACCGCCGATTTTTTAATTTTTTTCCAGGCTCAAGTTTCCTGTCTTCACCCATTTGGTTGGATCCTAAAGCTACAACTCCTCTACACAGGGGTGGCATTACCCGACACCTGGCTCTAGTCTTGGCATCCTACAGATCCCATAAATGGGCCAAGAGTGATTGCCCTTGTGTCCTCCGGCATCATGTATTATATAAAAAACTCTACTGTTTCTAACAGTTTCTACTGTTTACTGTTTGAAGCCCATTTCATGTGCACCTTACTGTATAGTTGGTGACAAATTGTTGAGTGTGTTTGTCATTTGTTTTGCTTGACCAAAGCTCAGTATATAGCCAGCTACAGCTCGTGGTATACTGTGACCGCCGTAGCCGGGACAGATCCTGACAATGCTGTCGAGATCCACCCAGCTGCGTGAGTGACAGCTGGCTCTGCCTATCTAGAGGCAGAGTCAGCTTTGCCGCCCCCAGTCAGCGCTAGAGGGGAGGGGGGAATCCCTGCGGTGACTGATGGTCACCGCTCTCTGCAGGGAGATGATCGAGAAGTGAGTGAGCAGGCAACGGTATGTGTTCACTTTCCGATCTATAGAGCTGACATGTGACCGTTTATTTGTCACGCGTCGGCTCGAACTGGGGTTAAATATGAAATGTGTTTTTCATGTGATTTTATGCATATTGCCACATTGGGAGAAATGGTGGTCAGATTCTGCTTGCTGCATTAAATCCCCACCCTGTTTTTTGTTTTTCAGAGTGGCTGTCCTCTGTATACAAGCAGCAGTGGTTTACTATGCTCCGTGCTGAGCAGGATAATGACACCGGGTGAGTAGGTCTTACTTCTTGAGGCATCATCCCTCCATTCATTGTAGTAAAACACAAATTTTGCTCTTTGTCAGAAGGGAGTGTATTGAGGTACATGTTTACCTTTGTGCAACACTATATTCCTCTATCGGTGATAGAAGTTGGTTGCACCACCTAAAAACCATATTTCAGTTTTGGTTAATATTACAGCAAGATGTGACTTTCCAAGTCTGCCACCCTACTGTGATTGGTGCCTTGGGGTTACACGACTCTGGTTAGTTTTTATGTGTTTTCCAATATGGAGAATGTAGCAGGTAGGTTAAAGCTATTCATCTAGTGGGTGACTTGATGCATGAAGGTCCACCCATATATGAAATATCAGTGTTTGGGTAGACTGCTGCTACAGTAAAGGCAACTTTATTAAATATGGATCAGCAAAACAGACTGAGTATAGTGTGCAAGTAGCACTCACCTGTATGTTCCTATATTCTAGTACCACTAGATTTAAAGCCCATTTCTACTTTTTTCTTTTTGCGGAGGTATGTTTTAAAAGCAAACATTTGCCGGCCTGTACACAAAGTGTACATGAGCAGCCATATGCCGTTGCTGTATATGAACTCGGAAACCTACTTTTTTGTGTTAGCTGTCCTCCATCTCCTCATGGCCCCTTTTGAAATGGCCGCCTCTGTGCTCTGCAGCCAGTCTGTACAAATTGCAGGCTGCTGTGCACAGTGGAGACTACAATGTTAAAACTACATTTCCCACAATGCTGTGCTTCCCTCCTGCACAAGCTTCTCTATGGAAACTGAGCTCTCTCTCCCCCCTGGTCCCCCCGTTCATTAATAATCATAGTCGCAACACCCCCTAATCAGTGCAGAGTGAGCTGGAGACGTAGAGCTGCTGTTCAGTGACCTCATTATGGTGACTCACAGGGAGGTCGGCCATTCTGAGTAGAGGAAGCATGCAGTGCTTTTGGGGTACTATCAGCAGCAAATGGACCCATGGGTGACAACACCAGCAGTTGCTGGACTTTGCCTTCAGTAAGAACTGTTTGGGACTATAAGAGACAGGGATATTGTTTGGCATAATACACACAAGGTTTAGAACTTCTTTCGAAGTTTGTATACTGTGACGCCCAGAGGCCCCGTTGCAAGAAACCATGAAGGGGCCCCCCCAACGCCATGGGAAGGCACTATAAACAGGCACCGTGTGGTTAACAGTAAGGCTGCCGAGGTCCCCAGCAAGCGCGGGACCTCAGGCAGCCGCTTCAGTTTAATAATTTAGTGCCAGTGTTCTGTCGAACGCCGACCCAGTATCTGCACTTGCGCACAGACAGGATTAACGAGGAAACCGGCATTTATTTCCAAAGTATTCGTTTGTAATTGTTAATTGTGACTGTTAATATGCCATCTATGGCAGTAAATGATGGACGGCATATTATTAATGATTTAGACCAAATACTTTGTCAATAAATGCCTGTTTCCTTGTTAATCCCATCTGTGTTTGCGACAGAACACCAGTATCGGGGCATTTTAAGGAGTACGAGTACTCGTGGAAATGCCCGGCATTGGCACTGGTGCAGCCCTACTTAATACAATATATTGCTGGGACTTGTAGTCCTGCATAGTTGGTGCTATTCGGCATTGCTGTTTAATCATTATACAGCAATGCAGAATACCACCAGCTATGCAGGACTACAAGTCTCAGCAATACATTATAATAAAAATAAGCAATGCTGAATACCACCTGCTTCTAGGGCCCCCCTTTCTGGTCCAGCCTTCACCAGACTTGTCTGACTCATACAGCACCTTCTTCTGAGTTTCACGGCCAGGAGGCAGGACTAATTGGAGAGGATCCTCTCCCACACAGCAGAATATGCTGCCTGGAGGTGCCTGCAGCACATTCTGCCTGACAGGTGAATGATCACTTGTACATCCTCTCCACCCCCGCCGCACAGTCGCCTGTTCTGCTCCCCCCCCCCCCAACAGGTGGAACGCCAGGGCCCGGTCACAATTGCGACCCTGGTAGTTCTGCCAGTGGTTACGCCCCCCCACCAAACCCCTGGCGATGGTGTCGGGACGCCTCTTTGTCGGGTATTGGCCAGTGCTGTGCAAATCTAGCATGTGTCAGTAAAATTCTGCTTTGGGGTTCCTGAAGAAACAAATCCATGTTGGTAACTCAGGTTTTTTTTTATTGGAATGTCCAACACGCTCATTTGGTCAGATGTTTACAGATTTTGGCTGGTTGTCGTAACCCTTCCCGCGCTCCTCTCTGTTGTTCCAACAGGGATATCTGTCTAACCTAAAGATTCCTCTACAGAGCTGAAGCCTAGTGGTCCGATCGTGGTTGACTTTTACTGACAATTTCTGATCTGTGAGCAGCTGTACACACTTTACTCCGAACAGACATAACTTGGCACTTGCCCTTTCAAATCAATTTTTGGGTTGTAGAGTTGTTTTCATTTAATAGAGATGGCAATTAAAAGCTTATGGTTATTGGCATCCATAGACTAACATCTACTTTATAGTGACCATAAATTGTCTTTTGAGCTTCTGATATTGAGAAATATCACATCAGCTCTGCAAAATTAAGAGTCTTTGATCTTTAATAACACCTTTATGCCGCCTTTATGCTTTGTCTTTATGAATAATTGAGAAGCTTGAAATTTCCCAGTGCCGTTAAATACCTCTCTTGTAACGGTTATATTAGACTTGTGTCTGGCTGCCAGCTCTGTCTTTTTCTCACTATCGGCTATGTCAAGCCTTGTCGGCATCACAAGAGTTCTGCGTTCAAAGAGTAAAGAGGTGTTCAGACTGGTCCTATAGATGAATGTTTTGTACAGAGTTGTAGAAACAGTCACCTTAGTTCACCTGTGAATAATATCATTGCAAAGCATCTGAGAGACTGCGGAATTGATGGATAATACAGAGCTGCTCTGTCAAGCCATTGCCGGAATATGAAGATGTGTGATAAAAGCTCAAACAAGTGTCGCTCAGCAATCAGTTGTAACACTACTCTGTGCACCAGCCTTGGCTGACCCCAGTATCGGTAGTGCTAAATACTTGGCTAGTTCAGGAAAGTTTTACTTTTGTTGTTCAGCCCCTTCAGGTTCTAAACAAAAGGTCTGAAGACCATGAGACTCAAAGTATCAGCACACGAACAGAGATATGCTTTGAAAATTATGGGTCTGAAGTAAGGTCTGTCTTTGTTTCATGGGACCCCATCAGGTGCAGACTTGTGCTAGGAAATAACAGCTGGCAGATGGTAGTTAGGCACTAAATGCTGGGGGATAGAAGTGAATGTGCAATGCTATTTGAGTTTGACACTTGACTAGATGAGGTTCTGCCTCATTTTTCGTAACTAGTAATTTGTATGATGGTTCCTTACAATGGGTTATTAGTGGTTTATAATGTAGTTTATAAGTATCGGCACTTTGTGCAAACGTCTCGGCTGGCCAAATACAGGCAGGTATTTCCCAGAAAATGAGGGGTAATTAGAGAAATGCCTATACACATTTTTAAAGCCCAACTCCACCCTATTGCTCAAGTCTTATGGCAGAGTAACATTGATTTATTGCTCTGGCGGGCTCCTTCCATCAGTGCAAGTGGTCCCCCAAAGACTTCGCTCTAAGGTGCTGCTGGCTACGGTCACATAACTCAACAAAGAGCATTAAAAGGATGTATAATAGAGCACACTGCGATAAATGTTGCATTCACTCACTTCACTTGCATTCACTTCCCTCCAACCAGATTGGGTTTCCTACCTTCCAGGACAACAACCACTTGTTTTCTTTCCTTCCTGACTGCAGGTAAAATCAATGTCTGAATACATCTTTTGGAAATCTGTGTGTGCACACATATACACAGTTTCGGACCACACACTGTTCTTTCTCAAGCCCAGTGATAATGTACAAACCTACACGTTTCTCTCATTTTATCTTTAAACCCCGGAAGTAAATTGATACGGTTACAATTTAACCCATATGTTTCCCACACTTCTCGTCTTGCATTAAAGGGTTTCTAAACCCTCACATATTTTTTGCATATATCTACTGCTAGAAAGCAGTAGATATATGCAAAAAGTTTTTTTTAAAAACAAACGCTTTAAAAGCAGCTTAAACTTACCCATGTCTTCGCCGCACACACGGGAAGACTAGGAGAGACACAAGGTAAGCCTATGGACGCGTGCACCCCCATGCAGACACCGTGGGACAGGAAGTGCCTGCAAGGAGAGAGGAGTCGACGCTGGATCGGAGACCGGCCGCAGCGCTGGAGAGAAAGCTGAAAAGGACAGGAAAGAAGAAGATCTGATTAAGAGACATCATTTAAGGTAAGTGCTTTAATTAACATTGGGGGGAGGGAAAAAGTTTGTGACTTTAATGTCACTTTAAGCATATCAGGGTGAATTTCATCACATTCCACTCTCCACCTGTGAAATTTTAACAAATTCTGTTAACCCTTTAGCCAAATTAGGCAAAATCTACATTTAGTCCCCTAGGTTGTAATGTATTTAGTTGAAAAATCCATGTTACTCCTCGTCTCTTTAAAATGAATGCCCTATTGCCACCTCTCTGTGGCATAGGGATGAAATCAATCGCCATGAATCTCAATTTTGACACTGCATGCCCATAATCCACAAAATGTCTCACCATTGGTAATTCTACTGGTGCATGCTCCTCCTCATCTGTCTTCAGTATCCTCAAATAAATCAGTCGGTTTTATACCGGCAGGAGTGGAAGAAAGAGGTCAGCAGTTCAAAGAGGGGGCCAGAGACATCGTAAAAGCAATAAGAAGGAATCCACCACGAGCCTGCCGGATACAAAAGCAATAAATCCTGTGAGTGTAATACACAACATTTCAAAGTCTGAGCTATCTGTTCCTAAAATGTCAGTACTAAACAAGGGTTTGGGTTTTTGCCCACAACCAAAATGCCTCTCCCGCTTACCTGTTTTGCAGGAAGGGGGGCTGCATCCCCGGGTCTAGTGTGGCACTTGGGGATTATCCTGGTCTGGTGGTCAAGTGAAGGATCTGTGTGCTCAGCACTCTGGCTGGTGCAGACCATACTAATCGCTCCCTGCCAGTCAGTGGCAGCACCACGAGGGAGCGATCAGTATGATCTGCATCAGCAAGAGATGCAGCTCATACTGATTCCCCTCTGGACCACCAGGGAATGATCTCCATTTAATATATTGCCAGTTCGGCAATATATTAAATGTAATGTGGGCACTTGCCAGGTTTAAAGATGGCCGCCGCCACTTGTGGCGGCCATCTTTAAAAACCTAATGTGCAGTGGAGATCCCTTGAGGACACCGGAGGCCCGTACAGAGCACCTCAGGACAGGCTATGAAGTGTACAGGCCCCTGGGGGTGCGGGGGCCAAGCCGCCTCCACCTCCCGCCAGGCACCTGTATGGCCGTCGGCCGATTCACATGTAAGGTGCCTGGGCCCCTAAGGCTGCGCGGGCCCCTTATGACTATCGGCGGTACCCCCCTGACGGCGGCCCTGTTCCAGAGTTTAAAGATAAAATGAGAGAAACGTATAAGTTTGTTATCATTGGGCTTAAAGGAGAACTATGGGGTAAGTGCTTTCCCCCATAGTTCTCCTAAGGGTCACGGGAAGACACAATCTAGTGTCCTCCCGTTACCCAAAGCTCAGTATACCACGAGCTGCAGCTGGCGGTATACTGAGACCGCCACAGCCGCGACGGATGCCGACATTACTGTTGAGATCCACCCAGCTGCGTGAGTGACAGCTGGCTCTGCCTATCTAGAGGAAGAACCAGCTGTACCCGCCCCCTCCCCCATCCGTTCCGACAGCGCTGGAGGATCGGAGGGGGAATCCCTGCAAGGAGCCGTGTGTGACAGTCACGGCTCTCTGCAGGGACATGATCGAGAAGCTCACCTCCCGATCTATTGAGCTGACGTGTGACAGTTTCATTGTCACACGTTGGCTAGAACTATGAGGAGGAGTGAAAATCACTTGCCTCATCGTTCTCCTTTTAAGAAAGAACCGTACGTGGTTCAAAACTGTTGCCCTTTTGTATCATGTCATGATCATGGTTACTTTTTGTTGAACAAATAAAGAAGATTGAGTGCTGCAACACTCGGACATTTTTTGTTTATAATATGTAAGGAATTAAGGATGGATTCATGTGTTTGACAGCGTTTAAGATATAAATCAATTATCTAAATTATTGACATTTATATATATATATATATATTTAGAAAAGCTTTATGGGTGCATATAGATGCATCTGATTGCACCTAGTGTGAATCTAGCCTTGTTTTTAAACAAGGCTCACAGGTTCCTTCTTTGAGGCACATTGTCAGATTTTGTAAAATCATGAAAAGCAAATGCGGGAGCCTCAGTGGAACTAATCTGCAGAGCGGCTGTTGGGTCTAGTCAGGTTACCTTCGTCTCTCGGTAAGTGAAGGTGCAACAAGACCTAGTGTTCAGCAGTTCGCTTCTACCGAGTTTTCTTGATTCTCCTCTCAGGTTGCTGTCCTGGAATATGATTGGGGGAATTCTCCATAAGACTTACCGGTAACGGTATTTCTGGGAATCTTCCAGGACAGCAAGCCTACTTCCACTATGTATCTTGACTCTTCTAAAATAGTCAATTGAATTTTACTTTAAAGGTTTCTGAATTCTACAAAACCTTCTTCTTTTTTTTTTTCCTTCAGAGACGTGTTGTGCAGGATGTTGCACTGGCACTATTACTGTCACAGCCATAATATGCTTTAGGTTATATGTCTGAATTTACTACCGCGTGGTTGCAGTAGCCAGTGGCAACCATCAGAGAAAGATCACTACCATAAAATAGGATGTAGAATGGTTGTTTGAAATTGAGCTACTGCTGGCATTTTGAGACAGGAAGGCAACTCTATGTGATGGCAGTAAAGTGATAACTGAGAGGTGTATCTGGGCTTATTTAAAACGTTTGTGGTGTGCATCATCACAGGAAAAAAAACACCCGGCTCACTTTTCATCAGTTGAGGACAGGTAGAACAATGGAAGAAGATTGCTGATTGGTTACCATGGCTTACTGCAGTTATTACATGAGTGGGTCTTCAGGTCAATGTTGTCTTTTCGTGTGTGTGTGTGTTGTTGTTGTTGCTGTTGCACACTGGTTAGATCACTGAAGGTTGATCAGGGATACCCTGATGAAGTAAATGTGGTTAATGGCTCTGACACCCGTGATGGAGGAAAAGACCATCAAAATACAGTCTATGAAAGATCAACACCCTTGTCCTGTCTTTGGGAGGACAGACAACTCTGGAAAATCCCTGGTCAGCCTGTTCTTACAGCATAAATGGACAAAATTGAGTTGTAGGGTGTAATACAGGGTTTCAGGGCCTGCAACGAGGTATGTGGAGGCATATGAGGATGTGTCTATAGTCTTCAGTTCTGTGGCCACTTTACCTTATTTTAGATGAACACTTCTGCTGCTTTAAATCTCAACTGCCTATTTTCCTTATTCCAGGGCAGATAAAACACAGTACAGTTTTATAGCAGGGGTAGGAAAACTCTGGCCCTGCGGCTGTGGTGAAACGCCTAAACCCATCATGCGTCTGCCTCTGGGAGTCATGCTCGTGGCTGTCAGTCTTGCAGTGGCTAATGGGATTTGTAATTGAAGACAGCTAGAGGGATGGAGTTTGCCTACCTCTGCTTTGTAGGTTCACCATTGGTGCCCTGGAACTAGCATGTGGTCTGGAAGTCAGCCTCTGAGGCTTCTCAGCCAGGTATTTTTCTTTGATTCACTCTCTAAAACACACAATAATTTCACAAAGAACTACCCCTTTCACAAAGATAGGCATATGCATTAGAAATTAGTCTTACTTTCATTTGCCTGGTGCATCCTGGGAGATGATCATTCTTCTTTGGCATGTATAATTCACAGCATTTGGAGGGACTTTATTAAATGTTAGTAATAGCCAGTGATTATTAGGAGCGGTGGGCACTGTTTGAGCACTTTGTAATTAAAATGGAGCTCATCAAACACATTTCAGAAAATCCCTCTTTAAACTGCCACCCATCTAAAAGTCAGTATGCAATTGCCTCTGTACTTTTCAATTAAATTTGTGATTGTAAAATGCTATAATTGTATTACTTTTAAGTGCTCAAATTATCTTCCCCTGTGCATTTTAACAGACTGGTAAGAATTTAAGTAGATTAGAACCCGGTCATGTAAATATGTAATTGGCTTTCATGGTTTTGTATTTTTTTTAAATTTTTTGCTGGAGATTTTTCCAAAGCGACAATGCAAAATTGTATTTCAAGTTTCATTCAGCCACTGGCTACCCAGACCTCCAGCGTCGCCTCTGTAGATCCATAGAATGTTATTTCAGAGTGTGTCATACGTCTATTGTGTTACAAACCCAATATTTCCATTATCTGTTGTAGCCCTCAAGAGATCAATAAAGATGAACTGGAGAGCAACAGCATGCGATGTGGCAGGAGACTTGCGAAGGATGGAGATGTAAGACCATGAAAGTACCTACTATTTATTCCCCCCCCCAATTACATGTATTTATGTGCAATTGCTCCTCTCCTAGAATTCCTTTTTCTTTAAGCAATTAGTGTGGGGGGCTATATGTTTTGTTTTGTTCAGCATGTGGTTTTTGAGCGTTTTCTACAATGCTTCAATAGCTGTATAGTAAAGATGATATTTTAATTAGGCAGTTTAGACATTAAACGGCATAGCTTTGCAGCTTTCCTTAGAGAATTGATGCCATGTATAGGTCAGATTGGCATAGAAAATGTTTGCGGGGGAAAATTTGAGTAAACAATTTATAAAACATCTCTGAATAGTCTCTGTTCAAGTTATTGGAACGCTTTCATAAGAGACGCAATTTTCCCTTTGAATCTGTGACTTCTTAAATGGGGCATGTAGCATTTAGGAGAAAAACTTCAAATTGTTTTTCCATCTGTAAGCAGAACCTGCACGTCTCCTAACCTGCCATCACCATTGTTAATGGAATTCTTTTCCCTGCCAGATTTTATACTGTACCTGACAGATTGGGTGGACTGCCATGTTAAAGGAAATCAAAAATTGATTGTCCCAGCTACCTAGTAATAACTTGATAAATTACATTTAACCAAACCTTTTAATTCACTCATGGAGATCAAAGTGAAATATTTGCTTGCAGTGTTTATGAAATATACTCTTTTTGTTTTAGGTTAAGCGCTCATGGAAGAGCCATGATATGCAGTACTCTGTTGTAACCAATTATATTTCCACTCACAGCAATGTATTTTACTTGAACCAAAGAAACATGATTTTCTGCAGCCAGGCCTTCAACCTCATGTGCTGTTAGATTTCCTAAAAAAAACAGTTGCCTGATGTGGAGCCCATTTGGAACAAGCTGGAGACATAGGGTAATGGATGAGGGAGGAGCCCCAGGACTGAGACTTCAAGCCTGGGTTTCATGTGCATTGCATTAAAGGAGAATTATGGAGAGAGTGAAATAGCCATCCCCATAATTAGAGCTGACGTGTGGCAGTGAAGCGGTCACATGTCGGCTCTATAGATCGAGAACTGAGTGATCACAAACCGCTGATTGCTCGGTTCCCAATCTTCCTGCAGAGAGCGGTGACTGTCAGATCACAGCTGGCATTGGCTCTAGAGAGGCAGGGTCGATCCCAATAATATTGTCAGGATCTTTCCCAGCCGCAGCATGGCTCTGTGTTGTCAGCATATGCTGAGTTTTGGGTCATGGGGCGACATAGTAAATGTCCTTCTGTCACACTAGAGAACTATGGCCAAAAAAAAATGGGGCCATAGTTCTCTTTTAAGGCAGCCCATTATTTTGAATTAGATTGCGGTGTAGGTAGGATTGCACCTGCTTATTTTTTCTTCTTGCAATGCAGTGTGTTTACATCTGTATGTTGTGGTTTGTTATAAAAAAGATACTCATTGGGGTGCCATTAAAAATAAAGGCAGCACTCCAACATGCCCATATACCTTTTGGGTTGTGACAATGCACGTTACTTCAATACAGTATTAGAAATGGGGCCTAAAGTTGGACTCAAGAGTAAAGTGTATTTTGCACCTCACCTGCTCTACCAGTCCAGATATTCCTGAAAGCTTTTTTTTTTTTTTTTTTTTACATTCTCTTATGTTAAAAGTTTATAAAGTATCAACCAGACTGCATCACAAGCATCTTCACTTTCCCCTTCCCTTTAGAAGCTGGAAGAAAATGTACAGACAGATGAGGACACGCTGTCTGCCTTTTATTTTCTGTATTTATGGTTCAGTTATCAGAATATCGACTATATGAAGATAATAAATGGACAGCACATAGAACAGCTGACAAATATAGGTCACTGAGGCTGAATGTGCTGCCTGTATATATTGATTGGACTCAAGGGCAGAACACAGTGACACTAAAAACTTTTTACATGCAGGTACATCATCCTGACATGTGCATAGCTGATGAAATGCTTCAGCCATTGCTAATGACGCTCCATTCATGAATGCTCATTCTTTTTTCTTATTGCAGGAAGTAAATGACACTTCTTAAAGAAAGTCAATACATACAATAGCCAGTATGTGGGCAATTTTCTGCTTTTTTAGCACTTGCCCTCCTTGATCATTGTAATTGTGCTGTCTGTAAAGACCTCAGCATAAATGCATGTTACTTGATGTACGCCCTAATTGTGTAAAATAGGGTTACTCTTTCTGTAGTACAGGGCTGAACACACTCTTGTTAGAATAGTGTAAAAGACTATAGAATGTCGTATTTACCCAGAAGGTGAGAGTTGGACTGTAAAGCTGGGTATACACGGTTATAATTTTATTTGGCGTTTTGTACAAAATATCTCATCAGAACATTTGATAAGGCCATCGGAGACTTGAAAGTCCTTCGAAAGGTTTTAACATTCGATTTTTAAACGAATGGAGTTTCATGAATAAAAACCACATTCACTGTTAGAAGTTGTCATTTGAGAAAAACATTTCCATCCTGCTCCTTCTATTTTAGGTTTTTTTTTTCCATTACTACGGTCAATTTAACTCAATTAAGTGAAATACTAACTGTATACCCTGCTTGGGCAAAAACAATGAAACTGTCCCCTACATAGGGAGGCAGGAAAGGTTCCATATTGCAACATAAGGATTTGGGAATGAAATGGAAAGGCCTCACCCTTTACTGCCAAGTGTCCCTTAGAATTGCAGAACCATCACAGATTTGCATGGTACATAGAAGAAACGACTCCCTGACAACTGGCGCAAAGCCACCTAAAGTGAATATCAAACCTCTAGCCAGAAATTCCCCCCACACCCACAATAAAATTACATAGAGTAACTAAATTATTAAAGGGTTAGTTCACCTTTCTTCCTTGTTAAAAATTATCCCCCATGCTTTCTATCAACATGAGTACATTGCAAAACTTTTAAACTATTCCCATGCGCAATATGTTCTGTAATGTACTCTCTCCCTCCCTCTAGCAGCAGCGGCCATGCTCAAGTGGCTGCTGGAGGTGCACTTTAAGAGCCGGTTCACACCACAAAGTCTGCGTTCCAGACCGTTCGGCCCCTGAAACGCAAGGTGGCCGGCTCCCTTTAGGGGCGGGAGGGGGCGTGGCAGTGCACTGACGTCAAT